CAACAAGTTGGTAGCAGCTCAGAGTAAGTCCGTCATCAGAAGAAAAAAAACGTACAACAACAACGACAAGAACACTTAGCCAAATTTAAATACCACCCACAACTGCACATTTTGAAAAGCAAATTCCTGCACCTTGAACAAATCTTTACACACATAAACACACACACTCATATATATATACAATGACTATGCGTGACCTCGTTCATGTCATACTCATGAATTATTTCAATAATTCAAGCAACATAAAGTGGCGCAAATAAGCCAAATGTTTGTGCTTGTGTATATGCGCAAGTCCATTCCTCAATGTATTAATAGTCCAAAGATCGTGTAAAAGATGGGGCTGTCAGTACCGAGAGAATTTCCTCAGCGAATTGTTCCGTTTGACCAACAAAAACATCACAACTATCCCGAGACCCAAGCCGCCTCCGTCTGACACCCTCTCTAATGACGAATTCTTTGGCCCCACTCTTTATCTCTACATTTTATATTTGTGAAAGACAAATATCCCGAGACTCAAGCCGCCTCCTTCTGACACCTTCCCTAATGACGAATTCTTTGGCCCCACTCTTTATCTCTACATTTTATATTTGTAAAAGCTCTTCACTTTGGCTGCCTAAAACTTCCAAACCACTTGACTTTCGAATTTGACAAAATTAATGGTGGTTCAGAATCATTTAAAAGGTGCACAGTTTTATAGAGGAGCCTGAAGAGACAGTGGTGTCATTTTCAGTTTTCATTAGTTTCGTTTAAATCTAATCTTGGGAAAGTCTGTATTCTAAAATGCCATTTGTAAATGTGTTAGGCTTCCGTTCACAAGGAGTGCCCGCACTGATCCCACACCTTTGAAATTCTGGAGAGTACAACCCCGAAAGCGAAAAAGAGAATCAATCTATACATCTCTATATCTAGACCTTCTAATTTTTTTCAGCTCTCAAGATTTATTGCTCCATTCCAGTAGAGTGTAAACATAGTAAGCCAATGACTTTCAGTTGATGTTAAAGCACCGATCATTCCTTTCATCGAAAGGAGGTCCGGCTAGTTATTCATTATAATGTACATGGCGACCATGTCAGTCCCTCGTGGAAAGCAAAATTTCAAGGAAGAGAAAATAACCTTGTGGAAACAAAACAAATAAAAATTTCAAGCTGGATACACAGTTCTCATCAGTTCATGATATGTCCTGAAGAAAATGTTGCGTGGTATCCTTTTGTTTGTCTGAGATAAAGAGAGGACACACTGTCAAAATAACAGCCGCATAGCGCTGTGGGGGGAAAAGCAAGACATATGTCCTTTCAACAAATTGTGATGTAACGATGATTCCACGAGATATTTTTGTCTAAACACAGTATTTTGGAAATATAATATAATTCACACAGTACATATTGCTCAGACAACACTTTTGTCTTCCATAAAAACCGCGTGTGCATCCAAGCACAACTGGTTCACCTAAATAAGATGAAACATAAACAACTGTGTTGAGCAGAAAAGGTACAGTCATCTCAAGCCATCAATTCTCAATTAACAAACAAGAAAAGTTGAAAAGTTGAAGAAAGGATAAACACAGCTTTCTTTTTAAAAACAATCTTCTGGTCCTAATGCGTACACCCTCTTTGACCCTTCCCAAGCAACATAAAAACAACAATAAAAAATACAAGACACACATATATATATATATATATATATATACACCCACTGTGCGTTGAAACACATTTTAGAAATCCCCTTAAATCACTAATGTCATACAACAACAAAAGTACACACCCATACACAATCACAAAGTGCAATTACAAAATTACATACAACATACATATCCAACCACTCCAAACATATTCACCCCCCCCCCCCCTATCTTACTTTCTTTCTCTCATTTCCACAAAAGGGGAGTCATCCAAAGGCAGCTGAATATCCAGGGCTTACATAATTAAAGACAGACACATTGACAAAACAAAGACTTGACATACAAACAAAATTTGAAACATTCCAAACATTTGTAAGAAACTTAGCTTCTGTCAATACAGAACTCTTTCCAAACAGCCTTCATTTTGAGAAAAGTTTCTCCAATGTGTTTCCTGAATTTTGCTTCAATTTAATTTCGACTGAGGGATACGTAACTCAGGAGCAGCAGCCAGAAAAAAATATGAAACAATCAGAATTAAAATCCAAATCCTTAGCTACAAATATGCGCCACACACCCAAAAAATGCGTAACAGAATAGCTGTGCAGTGACAGATCACGTATCGCCTTCGCAGCATCCCACACAGAGTATCTGAGAACATTTGAATGACCGACCTCTGACCTATGAATGAATGAACAACTACACACCTGAGCACACATACATCGCAGTAAAACCACATTGTAGAAAAGGAAAAATATTAAACATCGCTTTTATTCCCCCCTTCTTCATTTTTTTTTTTTTTTTCGTTCTCTTACCTGCACCCTGAGGTGACTGCACTCATCCCCTTCACAAAGGCCTTTCTTCTCGTAGTAGTCGCTGACCTCATCCAGTTTGCTGGTGAAGTCTGTGGAAACTAAACACACATACACGCAAACACACGTTTTACCACAAAATCTTGTCTCAATCACAAAAAAAGCAGACACTTAAACCTATATGTAACCTTAGCCACTTTACTTCTAAAACTTTACGTACTGCCTAGCAATAAGCAAATGGTTTGTTTTGATTGAAATATTTTTCTCAACTAGCATCTTCGTAACTAAGTATTTGCAAATACAAATTTCACATCCATTTACGAAAAGATGGAACTACTGCATATTATGCACAATCATCAATTAAAAAGACAATTGTTTGTTCCTCTTTAGTAATATTTAAAGCACTATTGCACAAAGGCCATTTCAAAGGTTGTCAATCAGAAATAATGCAAAACAAATTTCTAATCATTCGACTTGAAATGGAAAGACTTAACCCATCAACCAGGATCTCCTAAACAAATTAAGATGGCAGATATAAAACAATAGGAGGAAAGACATCTCTGGAACTGTTTCTTTCCCTGAAAGTTCATGTCCATCTCTTCCTGTTTCATTTTTTCCATCTCTCACAAAAATGGGCATGCCTTCCATCAACACAATTTAGATAACTTAGGAGACGCCTTGCTTCAGCCCTGCCAATCTAGGTAGAGTGAGACACCGACACTAAATCCCAGCAGCAAAATGGAGATTTTCAATCTAAAACATCCAAGCAAGAATCAAACTCGAATCTTTACACTACAGGCACCAATAGGAGGCTCTTACTCATTTCAAATATTGGAGACCATTTGCTTGTTATTAATATCAACCCACTTGCGGGTGGTTAGCAGACGTTCTGGTGTGGTTTGCACCTCTCATCCTTAATTCTCCTCTTTCTTTCTTTCTTTCTTTCTTTTTTTTTTGTTTTTTTTTTGGTACATTTGGGTTGCAAGTGCAGTAAAACTTGCTAAAGCAACCCATTTTGGTCCTGATGGATAAGACTTTTGTCTTCAGACAAAACAGCACTATTGCCAGACTAACGTTGAAACAGACAAGACCTCAGGCATCATTCTTGTTATACAGAACAAGATAGATTGTGTCGAAAATAAGAGGGGAACAGACGACAATTGTATCTTATCTTCCTTAATCTGCCAGCGTTTTCTTTTTCATCAACACTAAAGAGATTACTGGTTCATGAAATTTGCGACAGCAGGCAGAGCAAATATTTTCACGGAATTTTGTGGGGTATCAAAACTAGAATCCCGCTAGCTAAAAGTTACATTGATGGCGAAGACCCTTTTCTATGACGAGTAGTCTCCGTGCATCTGAAGAACACACATAATATTCAGGTAGAAGTCTTGATTTAGGGCCATTTCAGACTGCCTAATTTGATCCGATCAGAACAATTTGGTATTTTGAGACAAATAACCATATAACCCTGATGCAGAAGCACCAAATTGAGGAGGAAGAGGATGACGCGCCAAATTGAGAAGGAAAAGGAGGAAGAGGAGGAGGAGGAGGAGGAGAAGGCGACAACTTACACAGCATGTCATCTTGATCTGTGGAAAACTGCTTGCCTCCTTTGCCTGAGCAGTGACCTACTGAAAAAGTGAAAAATGAAAAAAAAAAGAAAGAATATCAGTTTCTATTTTTTTAAAACTTGTAATACAAGAAATCATTCTATATATAGACTAGTCTTATGAATCATTTCATCAACTATTTTCACCAAAACTTTAAAAGGAAGTGTACAGCTCGAGAATCTGTAAAAGAATCTTTTAAAATGAAGGCAGTTCTCAGTTGCTGGATCGGATCTGTACAAAAGACCCAGCGTTACATTCAAGTCAAACACTAACAAAAGACTACAAACTCAAAGCAGAGGTAAAAATGATAAAGATCAAGTCACTTGTAAGACAACAGTGTCCATTATTTCTGTGAACCTAAGCACAAGGTCTATCGGTAAATATTTTTGAGAGACAGTAAACACTGAATATTGAAACAAAAAAGGGATTCCTAAGTTCGTGGTTAGCTCAGAAAAATCATCTTAAACCTCAAATACTCCGAAAGTTATTTTACTACGGATCATAAATAAGAAAAATTAATATAAAACGAGCTGCACTGCAGCAAAATAATTAATTAAGGAATACAAGTTCACTTTTTAACGTATGAAATACACGGTTAACTTTTGTGTCAAATCTGAAAAGTAAAGCATTGTGAAAATAAAACTACTCATGATTTATAAAAGTAGCATTCCAGTAAATGAAAACATTGGCCAAAGCAAAGGAAGTTTTTCCCATTTAAAATGCCACCTCAAATTGATATCTTTTCATACTGGTCTTATTTGTAAAAATAAAAGCTAGCGATGGGGCCACAGCAAAATGTACCGTACAATATCCAACACTGTGGGCTAAAAAAGAGAAAATGAAAAAAAAAGTGTAATCCTCTCTTTATGTTATCAACCTGATTGCACAACCATTACAAACCTCAAATTCTGAAAGAAAACATAAAAGACCCTACTATAACTCACACAGGTAGAAAAAAAAACAAAAAAGCTTCGTTCGACTCTTGTAAACTTAAAACTATTGTGGCATAGTTCATTTTCTGTTTTATCAAATTAATTTCTGTAGTACTGTGAGGATGCGATATAGCACAGTTAATCAAGCAATTTGAAGCATTTTATGTCGTGTATGCCTCAAACATTTTTTTCCCCCAACGATTCAGAAACAATTCGAATTCGTGTTATCTAAGCAAAAAACTCTGAACAGAAAGCGATTAGTGAGAAGAAGTTTTCTCAACGAAAAAGAAAAAAAATTTTCAGTATCTGAGACGGACAATTTCCATCAGCTGATTTGAGTCTCACTTGTTATCCCTTTTGAGAATCATTTCTCCAAAGTTCGGAAGCTGCTTCCACACCCCGCCATTCTTAGTAAATGGCAAAGAGAGCACCCAAAGAGGCTTTCTGCAGTTAGTCTGGCTAGCATGACAAGCAGGTGAATGGAAGGTCCAAGGTGTCACGGGCACGTCCTACTTCTTAACTCCTCCCCCTTTTTATTCTTTCAGCCTGCTGGGTCTCATTCTTTCTCAGCACAAAACGGCTGCTATCCCTCAGCTGCTTTTCTTTTTACTTCAGCTTAACGAAACTAAATAAAAGTCGAAATGGAACATAAAAACTATTCTTTCGAAACTTAATTTTTAAAATTTTTTACTATGGGCTCCCCTAGCAAAACGAAAGTCAAATCAGCCGAGGGAAAACGTTCCGTCGACATAAATAAAACAAAAGTCACATAGGGACAGGATGAAGCATGCAGACACTGCCCACAGGTAAGATGTACATATACAGTTTTTTAAAAAAAAGAAAACCCTCCAGGGAAAAAAAAACCCAAAACAAAACAGATTCCAAATTTTTTTTAACGAAAAGAAAGGTACACCCGAAACCTCGTCACATCCCTCAAGATTTACGAACCACACGTCTACTGTTGTCAGAATGAAGGAGAGACAATAAACGTGTAATTTCTTTTCATAAGTACATATAAAAACACGTCAGATTTCTTCAAAAAATTCTACTACTAATATAAGTATTCAGTCTGATTTCTTCAAAAAATTCTACTACTAATATAAGTATTCAGTCTGATTTCTTCAAAAAATTCTAATACTAATGTAAGTATTCAGTCTGATTTCTTCATGATATTCTGTAACTAACATAATTATACAGTGGGCACACATTCACTATAAACAGTGGTGGAAGAAGCGAGTGATTACAGCATATTGTGTTCATGTGCGAGAATATACGGGAGTGTGAGCCAGGGCCTGTGTAGACAAACATTTCAAATGGGCGACATCAAGCAAATCAGAAAGTCTGTGAACAGGGAAAAGTATACATTTCGTGCATGTTCCTGCAAAGGGGATACTGGTCCGAATATATGTGTGTGTGTGTGTGCGTGTGCTCTTGTGTGTGTGTGTGTGTAAGTGAAAGAGTGGATCGAAGTGAGAGCTGGTGTACTTGTGTGTGTGTGTGAGTGTGTGTGTGTGTGTGTGTGTGTGTGTGTGTGTGTGTGTGTGTGTTTGCGTGTGAGTGAGCGAGCGAGTGGAACACAGTGAGAGCTGGTGTATTTGTGCGAGCATGTGAGTGAGACAAGATGGAGAAGGCATGCGCTGTTGTGTACGAGTGTGCGTGCAAGTGTGTGTGTGTGTGTGTGTGTGTGTGTGTGTGTGTGAGGTGGGGGGTGGGGACGCTGGTTTTGGTGTGAGTTTATGTGTGCCAGCGTGTGTGTTTGCGCTCATACAAAAGAATACAAGAAGTGGTGTGGGCAGGGCAAGTGCATGAGCGTTTGCATGTGTATATGTCGGAGAGGGCATATGTGCACACCTGTGTGTGCATGAGAGTACATATAGGGTTAAAGGTGGGATACTGGTGTGTGTGTGTGTGTGTGTGTGTGTGTGTGT